GGCACTTGTTACTACTAGCTTCTTGTTACTACTAGTAAGGCACTTGTTACTAGTAGCTTCTTGTTACTACTAGTAAGGCACTTGTTACTAGTAGCTTCTTGTTACTACTAGTAAGGCACTTGTTACTAGTAGCGTGGCACTTGTTACTACTAGCTTCTTGTTACTACTAGTAAGGCACTTGTTACTAGTAGCGTGGCACTTGTTACTACTAGCTTCTTGTTACTGTATTTTCACTCCATGTAATATGTACATTTTGTACCTTGCACATAGTAGGATGTCATGTTGACTTTACCTTCGCAGCTCGCGGCCCAAAACAGGAGTTGCAGCTTAACGGCTGTTTCTATAGGTTATCAGCCGTAGTGCTCTAACCACAGCCATGGACGCTCTTGCTATTCCTGGGAACGGTACATCATCGGTAGCAGTCCCAGCCGGTCTCATGACTGAGCCCACGGTGGATCTAGATGACCCCATGGGTTCAGCTCCTGTCACAGCTTACTTTCAGTTCGTTCAGCAAAACATCCAACAAGTGTACAACGGAAACGAAGATGCTATTATTGCTGAGGCAGAGAGAAGGCACAAAGAGATAATGGGACAATGGTTGGAAATGGTAAAAACCAAGTTTCGTCAAGCAATCGATGAAGTAGCGAGCAAGCATCATGATGAACTCAGTTCGGTAAGGCAACAAGCTCAATCTAGCTACAACCAAGTGCAAGGGGAACTAAGTGCCGCAAAAGCACGAATCCTTAAGCTAGAGAGTGAAAGGTCCATTGAAGCTGAAGCCAGAAAAGCAGAACTGGACTCCTTGCGCATTCAGCTCATGCACGATTGTCAGCAAACTGTCACTGCCATCACCAGCGGTGCCGAGCAAGGTGTGGCAACGCTTCGTGCAGAGTTTGATGAGCGGGAAACTCAGCTTCGACGTGAGCTACGCGATGCAGAAAATGAAAACTATAGCCTGCAGCAAATGCTCGATGACCTTAAAGCCAAAATGCATGCTGGACCCGAGCTAGAGTACCATCCAACAAGTGTCATGAACACACCAGTGTCTACCCCTAGGCATGATGACACAAAGAGGAAAAATCCTCTGGAGACCATTGCAGCAGAGGCTACTGCACGTTTGAGTGGACTGTTCGCACCCAAAGCGCCGACGGCCACCATCATCGGTGATGCCCCACCAGGGGCAGCTGCTCCTTTCAAGCCCGTGCTTCCAGTTTACGGAGGCACAGCAGCGGATGGGGGCAAAACACCGACAAATTTGTTCCATAGCCCTGCACCTTCAATTCGCGAACCCCATAAGCCAGCGTCATCAGGTGCTATCACCTCTGAGCAGGTGATTGAATTGGTCAAGTCACTCACACAGAGAGAGTCAGATGAGAAGCCAAAGGTAAAGGAGGCAGATCATATCAAGTTAAATGACATGCCAACCCCTGAAACCTATCGGCAGTGGAAACATCATGTGAGGGACGAAATCAAGTCATGTTCTGACAAACCAGATGCTGCCTGGGACTGGTTAATGGAGGTTTACAACACTGTTGATGAGAGGAAAGTTCTGGAAGAGCGGTTGTCTAACCCTGGGAAGTTCACAACGTTGGATACCAAGTTGGCAGCTGCACTGACCAGAAGTGCAAAGGGTGATCTAGCAAACCGAATCATCAATTACAAAGAAGAGAAGGCAAAGCTAGGCATCCAGGTTCGAGGAAGGATGATTCTTCTCATGTTCGATGACTATTTCAAGACCTCGGAAGAAGCGGGTAGCCTCTACAGGGTTGAAGATCTCCTTAATGTGGTAAAGGTAGGCGATACTGTAGCGGACTTGAAGCGTTTCATCAACCGCTGGGACGCTACCATCGCTGGTATGCCCGAACCACCGCATGAAAACGTGCTTCGAGACATCCTTTTAAGGCAGATCCGCACTAGCACAATCCTGAGGTACGACATTGATCTCTTCGATCGTGCAAAAGAAGGTGACCATCATCGGTCTTACAAGTTCCTACTGCAAAGCATCAAGGATCTGATAGATCGGGAACGCCTTCGTGAGAATCGATCACGTATCGCGGAGCGAAATCGGCTCAAGCCAGGTGATCGACATGAGAAGAATGCAGCCCCTACAGTTGATCCTCGGCGAAAGCGTTCGCCATCGCGCGGACGATCCACTTCTCGGGAAAAGGGCATTTGTTGGGCCTTTTTGGAGGGAAAGTGTGCAAAAGGGAAAGATTGCAAGTTCAAGCATGAAAAGCCCAAGCGTGACCCTTCCAAGAAGCGCCAACCATCCCGGGAGCGGAATGAGTCGAGGGACAAAAGCACAGATAAGGAAAAGAAGCGGATGACTAAGGAAGAGATGGCGAAGACCCCATGCAGGTACGATCAACAAGGTACATGCAGAAGAGGAGACAAGTGCTTTTTCAAACATGGAGAAAAGGCTTCACCGGCTCCGAAAACGAAGCCAAGAAAGGATTCCCCAAAGCCAAAGGCAAAAGGAGATACCAAGAAGGCTGCCATTTGCCTGAGCAATCGGTTTGCATGTCTTGCAACTGGTGTGCCCGGACGATCATGTCTCAAGAAGTCCTGTCTTCCTCCAGCGAGAAAAAGGTCTAAGTCGTCTGTCCGAAGAACTACATTCGTTATGAAACCTGAAATTCGCACCATCCCTGCTCGCGGGGAACATTGCAAGATGGTCAAGCGTGAGCGCAAGTACAGTGTGCATTTTGCCACGAGCGATCGCGTGCCCAAGAGCGACCCAAAGGCAGCCCACATGGCCAAGTTGAAAGCTAGGCAGTTGGCTGAAGTTGTTCGAAGCTTTGATAGCGCAACAGTGCCCTCATGTCGTTTCCTGTGCATCGAATCGTCGCTTACTTGTCGTGAGTGTCGAAGCTTGATCAAGTTGAAAACATGTCCTACTACCATCCCGACAATAGTTGCTGGTCCAGCACCAAGGGAAGGCAGGTTCTCATGGCTCGTCGATTCCGGGAGTGAGCAAGACCTCCTCAGCAGAAAAGTTATGGATGCTGCTGGTGCGGAGAACCCAAGACGGGCTCCTCACACCATCAGTCTGATTACTGCAAATGGGTCGACCGAAGCCAGCGAGGTAGCTGATGTCAAGATGATGCAGCTGCTGGAGCCTTGCACGCCGTATTTGCTGGATGAATGCCCGGCTGTGCTCTCAGTTGGCATTAAATGCCTTGACCAAGGGTATAGTTTCGTGTGGCCAGC